GCACTACAGTAGTGTTGTCTATTTCCTTTTTCAGTTTTGTTAATGCTTGTTTTATGTATTTTGCTGGTTTTTTATTTGGTGCATAGATATTTATTACTGTTATGTCCTCTTGTTCTATTGACCCTTTCAGCATTATGTAGTGACCTTCCTTGTCTTCCGTGATGGTTTTTACATTGATATTTATTTTGTCAGAGATTAATATGGCTACTCCTGCTTTTTTCTGGTTGCCATTATTTAAAGTCAGTATCCTAAAAAAGATTTTCCTTTTTGTACCAAGATCAGTGTTACAGATAAATGGTTCCTATTTATATCCACTTACATCCTTCCAGCTTCAGTGCCCTCCTTACCTATTTCCTGATCAGTCAAATAATTTATCACCTAGTCAAAATGGCTCTGCAGATTTCCTATAATGAGCTATACAGTAACTGTTCCAGGCTGGTGAAATGGACAGCCTCTGTCACATCTATTTGACTCTGTCAAAAAGCACCCACATTAGATCTGGTACAAATCAAGTGGCTGTGTGCCAATAAAACTTTATTTACACACATAGAGAGTGGGGCCACATTTGCTGACCAGAGTTTGGTAGGTTCAGTGGCTTTAACAAACTCAAAATAGCATGACATTAGCAAGAAATAGTTTCTTTTCCAACAAACAGCCCCAGAGTCAGCAGTACACTGACCTGGTGTGGCTTTGTGGCTCCTTCTATCTTGTTTTTTGGCCTCCTATATGGCTAACTCCCATTCCAGTCAGAGGGAGTGGGGAGGAAGCCTGGGACCATTCCCTGAAGGACAAGATCCAGAATTGGTCGCTCCAATCCTTCTTCTACCCCATTGGCCACAACAGAATCATGTGACCACAACTAATTTCAAAGGATGCTGGGAGATATAGTCCTTAGTTGGCCACTGCCTTTATCTAGTACATCACCTTACAGCTATTGTCAATCTTTGTGGGAAGAGACAATTCATCTTTCTTACCCTGGTGGATTTGAACTGCCCACCTTTCAGTTAGAAGCCCAGCACTTTCTCCACTGTGCCACCTGGGCTCCCTTGAGCAGCTGTGGGCCTGGCACCCACTTAGCTCAGAGGAGGTGCAGATGTAATTGTGAGAGTGCTGACCTTGTCATTCCTCTGCCCCCAGCCAGCTTTAGGCGCCCGGTGGTGATCCTGGGGCCCGTGGCTGACATTGCTATGCAGAAGCTGACCGCCGAGATGCCTGACCAGTTTGAAATCGCAGGTGAGACAGTGGTCAGGCGGCCCTGAGGCTGAGGCCGCTTGGTGAGAGGGCAGAGTTCCAACAAGGATGGACTCAGGAGGCATTGCCACCAGTGCCTGGGCTGGACATCACTTGTCAGTCCTCACACACCCGGGAAGGGCCTGAGAATCCTAACTCAGCCCAGCCCCAGCAGGTGGCCATGGGCTTTCTCTCCAGGGCAATGGGGAGCCATGGTAGGTTCCTGAGCAGCGGAGAGGCAGGTAGATGTGTGTGTAAGAAGCTGAATCTGCTGGTACCTCCTCCCTCTGACAGAGAGTGTGTCCAGAACTGAGAGCCCCTCAAAAATCATCAAGCTGGACACCGTGCGGGTGATCGCAGAAAAGGTAAGTGGACTCCAGGCAGCTGACCTCTCCCCATCCCTTATTCCAGAAGCAAGTGTCTCCATGGATCTTCCTGTCAGGGTCTTTGTTTTTTTGTTTTTTGGTTTTTTTTGTTTTTTTGAGAAGAAAACTTTTCATTTTAGAAACTTGTGCTATTACCAAAGTACTTACACGTGTAATCAATTGCTAGGGTATGTATAGATGGTAAAAAAATCAGTAATCTATTAACTTAACCATGACAGAAAAATTGACTTTCAATCCTTCCTAGAAGGCAATCAAGGTTCCTCATCACTCCTTAATCAAAGCCCTTCGGAGCTGACATTATCAACAGTTAAGACAAGGAGACGATGAACTTCTGGAAAGCCTGTCAGGGTTTTTGTGATGTGGGGGGTGTTGGCGGGACAGAGCCTTTCTGGGCAGACTCACCCAGCAGCAAGCGTTGGTCAGTGACAGAAACGAAAACTGGGTCTCTGGAGCCCAGGACGCTACAGCTCACACTGTCCTGACCTCTCCCAATCTGCTGGCCTGTGGATGTGAGAGGCTGGGGTCCACTCTGACCTCAGACTTGTTTTCTGTCATTCTCACTGATTCTTGTCTGTCCATCTCTGTTCCTGTGCCACTGCCTCACCATCCCTTTCTCTCTCCCCTCCCCCGCGCTGGCCAACCCAGGACAAGCACGCGCTCCTGGATGTGACGCCCTCGGCCATCGAGCGCCTCAACTACGTGCAGTACTACCCCATTGTGGTCTTCTGCGCCCCCGAGAGCCGGCCCATGCTCAAGGCCCTGCGGCAGTGGCTGGCCCCCGCCTCCCGCCGCAGCTCTCGCCGCCTATACGCACAGGCACAGAAGCTGCGGAAGTACAACAGCCACCTTTTCACAGGTGGGGTGGGGTGCTGGGGTCCTGGGGCAGGCTGGGGGAGGGTCCCGCCGTGCTCATGTCCCGTTCCCACAGCCGTCATCCCTCTGAGCGGCACGAGCGAGGCCTGGTACCAGGACCTCAAGGCCATCATCCAAGAGCAGCAGATGCAGCCCATCTGGACGGCTGAGGACCAGGTGTGTGGCAGGGGGTGCGGGGGCCAGGCCACGGTCAGCGGGGAATGCGGCTTCTGTCGAGTTAGGGTTCATTCAGAGTCAGGCCTGTGGCCAGGGTCAGTGTCAGCCTGGGTTGTCTCTTAGGCTACATGGGGAGGTGGCCTTGGGGGGACGCACGGGCTCAGCTCAGAGTCGAGGCTCAGCTGTGGGATAAGGGCCAGCCTACGGTCAAAGGTCAAGAGTGTCTCTCTCTCTCACACACACACACACACACACACACCCCTCAGCGTGCTATCTGTCCCCGCCAGCACTCTCTGCTCTCAGGTTGGGAAGAGTTTAAGAGTTTAAGTCTCAGCCTGGCCATGGGACTTAGGACTGGGCTGTCACTAGCCACCTCTCAACACTGGCCTGTGGATGTGACGGCTGGGGTCCACTCTCACTTCAGACTCTGCCTCTGCATCTCTCTCGTTCCTGGCCAACTTCCTGTTCTTGGGCCTGAGGTCTTGGTTGGATTTGATGAGGTCAAGAGTCAGTGAAGCTCAGGCTTGGGCGCTTTGGTCTTGAGTCAGGGGTTAGTGGTCAGACCCAAGCTTGGGGTGAGGGCTAAGGAAGGTCTTTGCCTGTTCTGGGACAGAGTTTGAAGGGAAGTGCCCAAGCTAAAGCTGGCTCTGGGGCCAGGGCTGGCCTTGGTCTGGAGGCGGGGGTCAGCCACAGCCTGGCCCAGCATCCACGCTGCCCCTCCTGCCTCTCAGCTGGACGGCTCCTCAGAGGACAACCTGGACCTCCCGCTCCGCGGCCTGGCTGACAGCTCCGCCGAACTCAGCTGTGACAGCCGGGCCAACAGCGACTACGAGACGGACGGTGAGGGCCACACGGACGGCGAGGGGGGCGCCCACACGGACGTGGACGAGGGGCCCCCGACGCCAGCGCTGGCCCGGTCCTCGGAGCCCGTGCTGGAGGACGTGCCCCAGAACCCTCGGGATCATGGGGGATCCTTGGCCCCCCGGGGAGTCCAGGTAACCAGAGGGCCCTTGCTGAGGGGCACCAAGGAGGTGGACACACACAGGGGAGGTGGAGTTCTGTGGGATCATGACCCCGCAGGACGGAGACCTGCCTGCGGGGCTGAGGCTATAACTTGCAGAAGCGGCCTGTTCCACCTTTCCTCCTCTGAGCTGCTGGTGGATCCAAACCCCTGACCTTTTCGCTAGCACTTTAACCACTGTGACCTCAGGGGTTTGATTTAGTAGAGTGGAAGCCCTGGGTGAGGGAGAGCTGTGCAGGCCCAGGCCTGGCTTATCAGTGATGTTTAACGGTAATGTTTAACCGGCACTTGGTGCATGGCGGGCAAAGGCTCTGGGTGGTACGAATGTTTAACACATTCAGCTACTTTGAGTCCACACTGGGCACCTTGGAAGAAAGGCCTGGTGACCTGCTTTCACAAAGTCACAGCCTGAAAGTCCCTGGGGCAGTTCCACTGTCACCCGGGGTCCGGGAGTCAACCTCACATCACCTAGCAGGTCTGTGATGGAGGCCCTGAGTGGGGCAAGCGACCCACCATCCCCGCAAACAAGAGCTTGTGGAGGGTCTAGTCTGCGCGGCTTTCCACCTTCAAAAACGAGCTACTGACACAAACAGGGTCCCCGAGTCAGTCGACCTGACGGCCGTGCAGGAGTTTCACGGGGATGAGGGGAGCAGTGGCCGAATTCTCACCTTCCTTGGAGCCTCACGTGTATGATTCTAGGCCACTGCACTCAGGTACAGGACCACACATCTGTTAGTGGAAGCTTGTGTGTTCCTAGGATTCTAACCAGGTCTCAACGGAACTGGTAGACTAAGGCAGAGTAGGAAGAAAGGCCTGGCTACCCACTTCTGCAAGACAGCCCGTGAAAACCCTAGGCATCATGGTCCAGTCTCACTGGGCACCAGGCCAATGAGGGGGAAGACCAGCTCAATGACATGTATTAGCCAGAAACTCTCCAATTTGCTGGCGGAAAACACCATGAACGTAGAAAACATTCCTTTTGCTGTGAAGAGCAACCTTGGGGTTGTGTGGTGTCCCATCTGCTCGACCGTCCACGGGAGCCTGGCTTGGTTCCACTGGCCTGTCCCCAAAGGGAGGGAGGCCTGGGTTTTTCCTCAGGCCCCTCACAGGCCCAGTGAGAAGCTGTCATCTTAGGGAAAGGAGAGGGTTCGCCTGGCTAACGCTGCCTGAGCAAAGGTGAGGAGAGTGGGGGTTCATCTTGGTGTTAACATCCGGGCTCCCTCTCCCTCAAGGTGGACAGCTGGCACCCCCAGGGGCAGTGGCGGCAGGACAGCATGCGGTAAGTGCCCCCAACCCCTTTCCCCAGACATTTTTAGGGTGAAAAGGCCTAGATCCAGGCCCCCCTTCTCATGTGCTTGTAGTCCAGTGAATGAAACAGTCCTGTGTGGTTAGAGCCATGTGTATGGGAATGTGCTTCCAGTGAGAACTGAGAAAGAAGGCCTTCTAAAGACACTGCAGCTGGGGTTTTGCAGGCTGCACAGGAGTTCTTCAATAAGTTCCTGGCCCAGAATGCCCAGTTTTGCTCATCTGTGCCCACACTCACTGCTTGTCCTCACCCCAACCTCAACTCCATTTCTTAATTCCCAGGACGTACGAGCGGGAGGCCCTGAAGAAGAAGTTTACACATGCCCGAGCCCGAGACGTGGAATCTTCCGATGAAGAAGGTTACGACTGGGGCCCCGCCACGGACCTGTGAAGCTGCGGGCTGCCGACTCCCCTGTCCCCCTGCCACCTCTGGGGACAGACCTGGAACGTGCCCTCAACCTGCTCTTAATAAACAGTATTTTCACAGCTCTGCCTTCCAGGACTAACAAGGGACCACGCCCGTTCTCCTTGCTCGGCTCCTGACCCCAATCCGAGATTTTGCTCACTGGGTAAACTTTTAATATTTTACACAGAAAACCACCAAGAGCTGAGAGTGCTGGGGGGCCCTGGCTGGCCACGCGGGGCACTGGAGGCGCAAGGCTAAGGCACAGTGGCAGGGGAGGGGCGGGGGTCACAGGTACACGGGCTGCTCCTGGCCGGTAAGCAGGCGGTAGGTGGCGGCCGGCATCGTCTTGATGTGGACCTGGCGGAGAGAAGCGGAGGAGCTCAGGCAGGCCTGGTGAGGACAGGAGGGCGCCCCAGCCCGGCCCCCCCCTCGGCACCTCCCCCCACCTCATTGTGGGCCTCCGTGAGCAGCTCGATGACGCGGGCGTGCGGCACGGCCACCACGCTCTGCCCGTTGATCTCAATGATACGGTGACCCACGCGGACGCCCCCACGCTCGGCGATGCCACCCCGCAGCAGACTGCAGATCTAGGAGGAAGGGGCACTGCTCAGGGGACACGCCGGGGTCACCTGACCCCCGCGTGTGTCCCCATCGAGCACCCCAGACCCAGCCTCACAATGCCATTCTCCACGCAGAAGCCCAGCTGCTCACGGGCGTGGGGCCGGCGGATGATGGCGGTGGTGACCGGGGGACAGTGGACAATGCTGAGGGTCACAGATGTCTGTGGCTTCACTTCCTGCAGGAAGGGGCCTGGGTCAGGCCCTGCTGCCCCACACAGGCCTCGCTGGATCCCCCTGTGCCTCAACTTAGAGCTCTATCCCCGAGTCTAGTTTCTAGAAGACCCTTGAGAAGTGGGGAGAGGGAGCCTCTGAAGTGGGGTGGCCGTGGGCTGGCCGTGGGCTGGGGCTCAGCTTCTGCAGGGGAGGGGCAGGGAGCAGCATGCACCTTGGGGCTATATTCCCTAAGTTGCTGCAGGGGACATGGAGTGGACAGCACGCCCGTCGGAGGTGTGGTCCCTAAAGTATTCCTGAGTACTGACCCCCACCTGGACCTGGCATGTCCCTCCCAGTTTCATGGCCCAAGTGCCCCCATCTGAGTCAAAAGGGTGCAGGCTAAAAGCAAACCCATCCTGGTCCCTGGACAGAGAAAAAGCCTCCTGGTCCGGGAGCCCACGCAGCTGTGCTTCCAGCAGGGTCCCCTGGACAAGAGGCTTTCCTGAGCCTCAGTGTCCCTACGTGCACGCACGGTGGGAACGGGGAGGCCACACGGGCCAGAGGATGACAGGAAAGGCACTGGACTGGCCCAGAAGGCCCTGGTCCCCACTGGCTCACTCCAGGACAGACTCACGCGGACGGCGGCCTGGCAGGCGGTCAGGGGCAGCCCCACCAGGCTGGCCCCATTGATGGCAGTGAGGCGGTCCCCGATGCTAAGGGCCCCTGAACGCTCGGCGGGGCCCCCGTGCTGCAGGTTGGCAATGACGGCTGTGGGCAGTAGGGAGCCCCAGCCCGACTCCACCAGGGCCACTCCCAGGCCCTCACCTGGCCGCTTCGTGATGCACACCTGGGGGGGACATGATGGGCATGGAGGTGGTTCCGTGGGGTGAACACCTGTGTCAGGGAGGGTGGCACACCACCTCGCTCACCTCTCGGCAGTTCTCGCTGTTGGAGAAGTGGTCAAGGTCCCCGTTGTGGAGATGGCTGGGCCCCTGGGTGGCCTGGCTGAGCCGGGCGGCTGCCTGGCCAGGCTCAATGCCGCTCTCCCGCAGGAACTGGCTGTAGGCCACGGCAAAGGCCTGGCCAATGGCCTGCGCGATGAGCTGGGCCTGCGGGGGCAGCACCGTCCTCAGGGTCCATGTCCTCTGCCCCTGACCAGATCCAGGGGCGACTTCCAGGGGAAAGGGGGGAGGGTGGGGAGGCAACCCTGGGCCACCTGGTAAATACTGGGGAGGCAGTGTCCACTGCAAAGACTTCTGGGAGGAACTGGCCAAAGAGGACAAGCCTTGGGGCTTGTCCAGAAGGTGTGAGAGGGTCCAGGGGAGTGGACTGCCAGTATGGCAAGAGTGAGACCACATGGCCCAGGGGACAGTGGGAAGGGTCAGATCACATGGCCCAGGGACTCGTGGGAAAGGTTAAAGACCATCTAATGCAAAGGTTTATGGGAAGATTAGCATATACAGCACAGGGGCATTCTGGGAATGGTAAGAATCTATGGCACCAAGGTTTATGAGAAAGATACTGCCGCAGAGGCCTCTGGGAAGGGCGAGACGGCTGACCGGGGGATCGTGGCCATCCAGGAGGTGGGCACTCACGTCCTCGGAGTGGAAGACGTGGCAGAGCATCCTGCAGGGCGGGTGGTCGCGGTCCTGGGGTGCGGGTCTCCGGGCCTGCCGCCGCCGGGCCATCAGCACCAGCACGCTGCCGATGTCGGCGATGTACGAGATGGTCTGCAGCGCGTGGTCCATCATGGCCTCCTGGGGGGAGACACGGGGGTGGGCTGTTTGCTCTGCCCTCTGCGGGGGGGGGGGGGGGGGCACCAGGTGCCAGTCTGGCCGTACCTGGGAGTCAGCAGTCAGAACCTTGATCCGCTTGGTGGAGATGAAGAGGTCCACCTCCGTCATGGGCTGCGTCTCCCCCGCGGGGGCCTGTGGGAAAGGGAGACCCCCAGGGACTCCATCAGCTTCTGGGGCCTCGGGACCTGCCTGCGCCCCACTTGCTCACCGGGTCCCCACCAGCTCGTCCACCCAGGCCTGCCTTCACCTTGACGCGGTCCACCGCCTCCTGGGCCTGGGCCATGCGGGTGCTGGGGGGCGGGTTCCGCTCGGACACCAGCTGGGTGGAGCCCAAGTACTTGGCTCCAAAGATGACACCATCTAGGAGGTCTTCGTGGTCACAGGGACCGGGTACTAGGGGTGACAGGGCATGCAGGGTCAGCTTGCGGGGGCCCCTGGCCAGGCTTGGCCAGCCCACTACTGCCCTGGCTCCCTCAGGAGACTAGACGCATAGAGAAGTCTAGGATAGGACCACAGGGAAGCTTACGGTCAGAAGCACCCGGTCGCCCTGAGCCAGCTCTGCCCTCACAGATCTAGAACCTCTGTCTGCTCTGCCTGTGGCCTGAGGGCTCCCAGGCGGTGCCCAGTTCTAGCAGGTGGCCGTCCGAGGTCAGGTGCAGACCTAGTGCTCCACGAGGGGTGTGCAGAATTCTGTGACCTGCCTGGAACCAGGTGGCCTGGCTCTCAGCTCCTATGTATAAAAGCCACGTCGTTTTAGAGGCATTGTCAGTCCCACTTAAAAGCTCTGGGATTCTTCAATAGAGCTAGAACCAAATAACTGGGCCCAGTGTCCTCGAAGTCCCCCCAGGACCACAGGCAACGCAAGACCAGAACTGAATAAACTCGCGTCCTATCAGGAACTTCCACTGCGTCCAACTCCAGAAGGCACCCAGGGGGGCTCCAGAATTCTCCGGATCTCACAGTAGCGAGCTCCGTCAAGGACTCTAGAACCAGCCACTCTAGTTCTGGAGCGGCTTCATCATACAAACATCAGGCGGACCTTCCTTTTCTAGCAGTTCTAGAACTCCTCAAGGAATCAACACCTCGGGTGTATCATTCCAAGAACTGCCGGATTCGTCTAGAAACCACCAACTGTGATCACAGTTCTTGAATCTTTCAACCCAGCCCGGAAATAGAAAGAACTCTCCGTGAAACCTAGACCCGGACAGCTCTGCTGGTACTTCTGGAATATTCTAGTCCGTAGTCACTCTTCTGGTTCAGAGCTTCACGGATCCCAGACCCCGGCCCTGGGCAGCCCAGTGGTGTGTGAGTTCACGCCACCGTCACCTCTGCCTGCTGTCCTTCACCATCTATTTGTTCCAAAGCCACCAACGATTCCACTCGAAGGTCTAGATCTGCACTGTCCAGCACAGTGGCCGCCAGCCACAAATGACTGTCACCCAGCATAACGGCGCTGGTGCCAACTGGGATGTGTAGGTAGGTGTGAAATACACACATTGGATTCGGAAGATCCAGCAGGAAAGCTAAGTTATGTTGTTGTTGTTGTTATGTGCCGTCGAGTCGCCTGCGACTCATAGCGACCCTATGTACAACAGCCCTAAACTCCACTCTGTCCTGTGCCAATCGCACTGTCTGACACTCCCATTCCGATTATCCCAATCACTGAATCAATCCACCTCATAGAGGGTCTTCCCCTCCTGCGCCGTCCCTCCACCCTCCCAAGCATGATGTCCCTCTCCAAGGACCGGTCTCTCCTCACAACATGTCCAAATTATGTTAAGACGGAGCCTCAGAATCCTTGCCTCCAAGAAGCCACCCGGTTTAACCCTTTCCAGGACAAATCCGTTTGTTTTTCCTAGCAGTCCATGGTATTCTCAATACTCTTTTCCAGCACCACAGCTCAAAGGCATCAATTCTCCTTCTATCCTCCCTAGTCATTGTCCAACTCTCTGATGCGTAACAAGTTATGTTAGTGTTTTAAAATACCAACTCATGGTGAATCATAATTACCTCAGGTATATCAGACAGACTAATTAGAACATTATCAGAATAACCAATTTCTGTCATCAAATATCACAAATCATCAGAAAAGCTGACCCCTCCCATTTCTACTGTAGAGTCTTAACATGACTCTCGAATGTTCCAATCAAGCTAGAATTGGAGGTCTAGGAGCCCCTGGCTGGTGCAGATGCCAAGTGCAAGGCTTCTAACATAAAGGTCACTAATTCAAATCCATCGGGAGGCATCTGGGACAGTTCTTTCCTGTCATGGTCATGAGGACTCAGAAGGGCTGATTGTTTTGTCATGCATAGTTCCCCTATTGATCTGAAAACATTTTCTCTGTGATTCTAGACCTTTTCAGTTTGATAACCAAATGGCTCCCTTAATGCTTTCCCTTACTCGAGACAGAAGTCCAGGTTAAAGGACACCTAGTTTCTTATCATCTAGACCCTCAAGTGGTGAGTCATAGTAACATGATTCTAGAGCTTTCCTGGAGCTGTGGGTTCACATCAGTTCCCCTCCCTACAACCTGTGAACTTGCTCTTTGATCCAGAGTCTCGGGGAGCCTGGGAAAACCCTAGAACATTCTAGAATGCCAGAACTGGTAGTCTAGAGCAAAGGTTGGCTAACTTTTTCTGTAAAAAGCCAGATGGTAAAGATTTTCAGTTCTGTGAGCCAGACAGTTCTGCAGCAACTACTCAACTCTGTTCCTGCAACGCAGAAGCAGACCGTTAGCATGCCAGCGGAACAACGCTGTGACGAGAAAACTTTATTTACAGATCCTGCAATAGTTACTGCATGCCATGTTCATCTATCACAGAATTGCCTGATCTCCCCAAGTATCTAAAAATGCAAAAGTCTAAAAAAGCAAGTTCACAAGATGTCCAAGAGGAAGGCATGGCCCGATTCAGGCCATAGACCACACAATGTGCCAACCCTCGCCTAAAGCCCTCAGCACTATAAATGGCCAAACTGCCGCCTTATCACCCTTTAGTCATTCTAGAACATTCTCAAGACTGTTTCTTTTCTCCCAGGCCATCCAGAATCTACTCAAAACCAATGATGTAGTCTTTCTAGAACCTTCTCCTTGCTCACAAACTGTGTGTTAGCTTTTGGGAGACTGTTTTAGACTGTTCTGAAGCCCTTAGGTTCTCCAGGGGCAGGTTGGCAAGGGCACTCACCCTCCTGGGGGGCAGGGTATGAGGCTTGGGTCTTGGGGCTCTGGAAGGAGACAGAAGAGGGGCATGTCTGAGTGCCCGCCTGACTCCAGGCCACGGAGGCGGGGGCAGGCACTACTACCTGGGCGCTGGCAGGCGTCTCCTCAGGCCTGACCAGAGGCGATGTCTCCAGCCAGAGCTCCGGAGAGCTTCCTGAGCTCCGACTGCCATCCTGCCCGGCACAGGCTCCCTCTGCCCATTCCGGAAGGCTTGTGTCCTCGTCTGTGTCCTCGGGGGGCTGCAGCAGCCCCGGAGACTCCTGGGGACAAGGCTGGGAAGGTGGACACTCATCACAGCGCAAAAGGTTCAGCAAGTCGTCGCGTCCAGCCTCGGCGGACAAGAGCCCGTGGGCATCTGCAAGGTCCCCAGAGGCCAGTCCATGACCGGTGGCGATGTGCAGGGGGCAGGGAGGACCCTCTGCAGACAGACCCCCCAGGTCACCCGGCAAAGCTTCAAACTGTTGCACCAGGTTCTGGATTCTCGGCTCATCAAAATCCATCTGGCTCAGACTGCTGGGGGCTCCCGTCTCCGGGTCCCACTGGGAGATGGGAGCCAGGTCCTGAGAGGGTGCCAGAGTGACCCCTGGCTCTTCCAAGTCCATGGCTGGAGGCCCCGAAGAAACGGGGGTGACTGTCAAGAACTCCATGCCAGGGTCCTGGGCTCACTCAAGTCAGCATTTTCTTGCAGCTGAAACAGATCGAAATGAAATCGCCTGGGTACCAGAGTGTCCTGGTGGCATAACAGTCAAGCACTTGGCTGCTAACCCAAAGGTTGGTGGTTCAAACCCACCCAGTGGCTCTATAAAAGAAAGCCCGCACACAGCGTGCACGGAAAGTCCTACGACGTCATCTCATAGATGAGGACCCAGGCTCGGGATGGCCGTGGTGGGGAAGTGGCTGTGGGGCTCCAACCTCCAGGGAATTCCCGGGGACCTGCCCGGGGGACCCCCCCGCACGAGCAGCCCAGGGCCCCCCGCCAGCGCCCGGCCTTCCACGTCTCCGACCCCGCCCTCCGCTCCGGGAATCTCCGCACACCCCCTCGCCGGGGACCCCAGAGTCAACACTAAAGACCCCCAAAACCCATAAAAGCAGAGTTTACTCTCCCAACCTCCAGTTTCACATACTTAAGCCCCACCCCCGGCGCGATCTCGGAACTCAGTTCTTTGAAAGCTAAGAGTTACGATCCCCAGGCTTCAGCCGCAAGACTCCAGGCGCCGGCCCCGGAGCCCAGCCTCCTGCCGGTCACTCACTTCTCGGGCCGAGGGTCACCCTTCCAAGTCCGGCCGTTCCCGGATTCCCAGCCAGGGGGCCGGCTCATCGGGTCGCCCAGCGCTCCGGGGCCACTGCGCATGCGCGCGCGCTGCCCGACGGGAAATGTAGTTCTCCCGCAGAAGCCTCTCGCTGGAGGGTGCTAGGTTTACGGCTGAAGACCACAGGTTCGAATCCCTAGCTTCTAATTTGTGTTTATTTTTGTTATGTACCTTTTCCATCTGTATGCAGAATAGATCATTCGAGAGGCTGGACTTTATGAGGAGGAATGCGGCATCAGGACTGGAGGAAGACTCATCAACCTGTGTTTTGCAGATCACACAACCTTGCTTGCTTAAACTAGGTAGGACCTGAGACTTTTGTTGCAGGTCAAAGACTGCAGCCTTTAATATAGATTGAAGCTCAACATCAAGAAGACAAAGATTCTCACCATGATAGATGGAGAAGAGATTGAGGTTGTTAACAATTTCAATTTGCTAGGCTCCATGATCCACACTCTTGGCACCAGCAGTCAGGAAATCGCGGGACGGGGCGGGATGAGGGGGATTGTATGCCAATGAGAGAATTTTTCTTTTACTTTTCAAAGAGAGGAGCGAACTAGGGGGGAGGGCTGGGCAGGGAGAAAAATGCAACAATAAATGAATAGAAATAAAAAAAACCTCTGTAAACATTCATTAAAATTAATTTATATATATTTATCAATAAATAGAAATGATAAATAGCATTGGTTAAGTTTGCTGTCAGAGACCTTTCCAAAGTGCTAAAGAGCAATGATATCACTATAGAGACTAAGGTGCACCTGATCCAGACCATGATCTTCGCAATTACTTGCTGTGCATCAGAGAGCTGAACATGACTAAGGATGACAGAAGAATTGATGCCTTTGAGTTGTGATGTTGGAGAAGAGTCTTGAACATACCATGGACCACCAAGGGAACAAGTCTGTCTTGGAGAGGGTAAAATCAAGTTTCTCTTTGGATGTGAGGATTTTGAAGCTCCATCTCACATATTTTGGGCATGCGGTCAGGAAGGACCAGTCCTTGGAGAAGGACATCATGCTTGGAAGGGTGCAGGAGAGGAAGACCCTGAAAGAGATGGATTTACACTGTAACTGGGGTAAATGGGGGTAGGCGTGTCAGAGTCAGTGATACTGGCACAGGGCAGAATAGGATGAGGTGCAGAGCTATTGTACATAGTGTTGCTATGAGTGGCAGGTGACCTGTGACACATAACAACAACCTCTGGGTCGGAACTGACCCACAGCTGACCTTATAGAGGGTTTTCAGAGGCAGTAAATGGCATGGGAGGAGACTGCCCATCTGTCTCTAGCAGAGCAACTGGTAGATTCAAAGTGTGGTTTTGTCTCCTTGAGCCTCAGTTTTCTCAATTATATAATATTGTTAGGTGCCATCAAGTTGAGAGTGTGGGCAATTGATCTGAACTCTGTCCTATCCTATACCGTTCTTATAATCTCTGACACTCATGCCTATTGCAACAATCACTCTGTCAGTCTACCTGGTTGAAGGTTTTCACCAACCTTCCACCTTTCCAAACATGATGTCCTTTTCCAAGGAATAACCTCTCCTAGCAACATGTCAAAATTATGTGTGATGAAGCTTTATCACTTTGCCTCCAAAGAGCACTCTGGCTTCACCTTCTCCAAGACATATCTGTTCTTTTGGCAGTCCATGGAATGTTCAGTACTCTTTTCCAGTACCACAACTCAAAGGCATCAATTCTTCTTCTGTCATTGTTATTCACTGTCCTGCTCTCATATGCATAGCGGGTGATTGGAAAGGCCATAGCCTGAATCAGGGGCACTTTAGTCTTCAAACTGACATAATAGCTCCTTGATATTTTTTCCTTTTTAAAAATTTATTATGAATTTCAATGAAAATTTAGAGACTGGATTTCCATTCATTCATTGTTGCACTTTTCTGCCCTCCCAACCCTCCCCCTCAGTACACTACCCTCTTGGAAAAGTAAAAGAAAAATTCTTTCATTGTTTTACAATCCCTCTCCCCAGGTCCACTCCACTATGCAGCCTTCGCTCTGGACTCAGGTCATGACAAACATACCCAATCACATATCCCTTTTAAACAGCTTTCTCCCTCATCTGTTTCAATGCAGTATACATTATTGAACCCATCTTTCTCAGTCTCCCTCCAACCCTGAGGTCAGTCCTGTTTTACAATAGTGGCACCATGCAGTATTTGTCCTTTTGTGACTGAGGTACTTCACTCAGCAGAATGTCCTCCAGGGTCACCCATTTTAAATAATATTGCATGAGTTCCTAGTTTTTCAATGCAGAGTAGTACTCCATTGTGTGAAGATATCACAGTTTCTCTATCCATTCGTTTGTTGATGGGCATTTAGGTTGTTTCCAACTCCTTGTCATTGTGAACAAAGCCGCGATAAACATGGCTGTGACTCCTCGATATTTTGATGAGGTCTCTGACTGTAGACTTTTCCAATGCAACCTTTTTCCTGAACTCCTGACTGCTAGTAAGTGTTTTGATTGTGGATCCAAGTAAGATGAAGTTATTGACAGTTTCAGTCTCTTCTCCATCTATCATGACGTTATCTATTGCTCTGGCAGTTAGAATTCTTATTTTCTTGACACTGAGATGCAATTCATACTGAAGACTATATTCTTTGACCTTCTGCAGCATTATATCGTGAGGATAACAGTATCTTCTTAGTTGTGATGATAAAATTAAGTCAAACAGGTTAAGGCTTTATCAATAGGGTTGGAATATAGGGAGAGTCAAGGAAGAGTTTTTATACATTTTGTTTTGGGGCTTCTTGGACACCCAGCTTTTGGGTCCTACCCACAGCCAGCCTCTGTGCAGGAAGACAAGACATTGCCGGGCCCTGCACCTTCTCACAATCGTTGATACGTTTGAGCCATTGTTGCAACCACTGTCTTGGTCAACCTCCTTGAGAAGCTTTCTCTTTGTCTCTGACCCGCTCTGTTACCAAGCCTGACATCTTTCTCCACTGCCTGGGCTCTCCTGAGAACATATACAAAGGTTAGAAAGCCAAGTCTTGCTTCTAAAGGGCAGTCTGGCTGTATTCTTTTAAATTTTTTTTTTGTACTATTTTGTGTGTGTGTATCATCAAATCAGATCTGATTGGTACAGGAGGAGATTGTGCCTCCTTCTCCAAGCAGAGCATCTGTGAACCCTGCGCCTCTGGGATTGCAGTGCAGCTTCTTGTCTGGCTGTAGTTTTTTATAGCATCAGGAATATACATGGTATGGTCTTTAAGTAAGTACTCAAAGAAAGCAAGAAGGCAAGGATATATCAGCTGAAAACTCCCTCATAGGGGAGCTCTGGTGGCCTAGTGGCAAGAAGTTGTACTGCAATCCCAAAGGTACACAGTTTGAATCCACCAGATGCTCTGCCGGAGAAGGAGGGAAAATCTCCTCCTGTACCAGTCAGATCTGATTTGACGGTACATGCACAAAAAATAATAAAATTTAAAAAATACTAAAAAAACCCTCCCTCATAAACACTTGTGTGTAAAAGAGTTTAAATAAGCTATAAACAAAACAGCAACGTATGAAAAACTCAGACCCTATTCTTCTATACGGATTACATCATATTATCAAGAAAACAAAAATCCTCACCATTGAACCGATAGGCAATATCAGGACAGAGAAAAAAAATTTAGTTGACATTGACTCCATTTTAATGTGATCCACAGTCAACAGACATTGTAATAGCAGTCAAGAAGTCAAAAGACATGTTGCATCGGGAAAATCTGCTGTCTAGTTCCTATTTATCCATAGTGTTAAAGAATGTCTGTTAAAGACTGAAGTGCCTCGGACCAAGCCGCAGCAGTTGCGATTGCTTCCTATCCATCTGAAAGTTGCATAGGAGTAAGGAAGAATGAAGAACAGATGCCTTTGGATTGCGTTGTCGGAGAAGAGTATTGACTATCCACCCCATGTGGATGTTGTTGTCATGTGTCGTCGAGTCGCCTGCGACTCACAGCGACCGTATGTACAACAGCCCTAAACCGTGCTCTGTCCTGTGCCAATCTCACCGTCTCTGGCACACCTACCCCTATTACCCCAGTCACTGAATCAATCCACCTCACAGAGGGTCTTCCCCTCCTGCGCTGTCCCTCCACCCTCCCAAGTATGACGTCCTTCTCTAAGGACTGACTCCTTCTTGCAACATGTCCAATGGATGTCAGACGAAGCTTCAGAATCCTTGCCTCCAAGGAGCAGCCTGGCTTCACCCTCTCCATTCCACAGACTGCCGAAAGAACAAACAGATCTGCCTTGGGGGAAGTGCCACCAGAGCGCTCCTGGCCCATTCTTTGGGCATGTTGTCAGGAGTGCTTGGAAAACGACATCAGCTGGGAAAGGTCAAAGGGAGGAAGATCTTCAGTGAGATGGACTGACATTGTGATGACAACCACGGATTGGGCGGGACGCAGATCGTGAGGATGCCGTAGAGGAAACAGAGGTTTGGATCCACCACGACTCATGTCAACGACGTTTCCCATAATCCTCTAGGAGCCTACAACTCCCAAGCACCCCCTTGGCTGACGTCACCCGGAAGCCTGCACGTGCAAACAGCCCGCGTATGTCATGGCGTCCAGGCGTTTATTGGGGTTTACGCGCATTTGGGCCTTTTGTCGAGCCCCAGAGATCCCAGACCCCTCTGCAGCCGGAAGGCTCCTAGTTCGGGGTTATGCTAAGAAACCAGGTGAGTTAGGTTAAGGGAGACCAACATGGGCACGGTGGGCCCACGGGGAGCTGGTAGTGCGCAGGCGCGGGACCGAGAGCGCGTTTCCTAGACTGTCAATCGGACACAGTGCGCAGGCGCACACTTTTTTTTTCTTGCGCTCTGCTAATGCGCAGGCGCCAGTTTTAACAAGGGTGGGGTGGGAAAGCAAGTGCCTTTCACTGCGCAGGCGCGGGCTGATAGCGACCTTGTAGTTCGAGACCAAGGCTGTTTCCTTTAAGTTACTATATGTTGTTGTTGTTATTGTTACACTCTTAGCGACACTCTGAATACTGGATCTGAACTCTGTACATCCTTATCCTGCCACTTTTGAATCCATGGCCGCAGGCACTGTGTCAATCCATTTCCTTGATGATCTTGCTACTATATGACGTTTTCATTCAGTCATTCATAGATACATTGTTTTAGAGCATTAATGACAATACCTGCAATGCCAGGTCATCAGCCATGGTATAGTACTTGATTGTGAGGGTAGCACAGGATAGGACAGAGTTCAGATCTGTTGTTCACAGCATCTCTGAGGTGTACTCGATTCAGCGACACCTGACAACAATATGACAGTTGAGCAAATCACCAACGAAGGTCGCAGGACGAGAAGAGACTCACTTGGATATTAGCCAGACACTTATTTAAACAAAACAGTTACCCAATTGTAACTGGATACAGCCATGCTCGACTTCTTTTCTCTATTATTTTTTTTAATTTTATTTTTTATTATTTTTGTGTGTGTACCGTCAAATCAGATCTGACTGGTACAGGAGGAGATTGCCCCTCTTTCTCCAGCAGAGCATCTGATGGATTCGAACTGTGTACCTCTGGGATTGGATTGCAGTGCAGCTTCCACCAGAACGCCCTTCTTTTTTCTGTTATTTTTTTAAAATTGTGATGCTCCTCAAAGTTCACAAAGCTGATTGCTTTTCCGTTGAAATGTGTGTCCCCATCTTACTTTATCTCATCATTTACACTTGACATGATGCACTGCTGCTTCTGCTCTCTCCCTAGAGCTCTCATATCCACTAATCCATCCATCCTACCCCACTCTGCTTTCAGGGGTTTATAGCTGGGCAAATGCTGTTCTTTTGCCTTTTTTTATGATTGGTTATTCGAAGGAATGTGTACCTATGTGATGTTACTGGTCACCTTAGGTTTTGTTGTTATGTACTGTGCAGTCAGAGCTGACGCATAGCTGACCGTCCAGTGGGTTCTCAGAGGCAGTAAATCACAAGGGAGGACTTTGTCCATTTTTCTCCCACAGAGCAGCTAGTGGATTTGAACCTTGTGCCTTAGGGTTGGCCGCACAGCTCCTTACCATTTGGCTGCCAGAGCTTCCTGTTTACTTTATAGGTCTGTCTGGTGGAAAGTTGAGCCATGGGGGTTGAGCTTTATTCCAGGTTTAAGGGTGACCGAGGGCCACATTCCATGTGGGACCAGTACCTGTGGCCTTTTCTCTGGTTTTGAGTTTTGCCTCACATTTCCCTTCACTCTGTCCAGGACTTTCTCCTGTGACCCCTTTGACCAACCACAGTAGGTCGTCACTGTCTAGTTGTTCTCCTCTTGGTCATGGAAGTTGAAGCTCACGCGGCCCATCAGTCCTCTGGACTAATTGTTTAGGACACCTCTGCTTTTCTTCACTTGTATTCCGGACAGGGAGGGACCATAGTTACACCTTAGATGGCTGATTTGAAACTCTGGAGACCTTTGAACGGAGGCACTCTGATCAGTAGACGCTGTTAGATAGAGGTGGACAGCAGCCAGCGGAGACTTTGAAGCAGGAGGAGTGAAATGGAACTAAAAAGGGACCGTGTTGGTCAGTCTGCACTCCAGGGTTATTTAATTCTGTGCCCTAAGGTGCGCCTGATACAGGCCATGGTCTTTGTAATCACTTGTTATGCATCAGACAGTTGGACAATGACTAGGGAGGATAGAAGGAGAATTGATGCCTTTGAGCTGTGGTGCTGGAGAAGAGTATTGAATGTACCACGGACTGCCAAGAAAACAAACAGATTCATCCTAGAGATGGTTAAACTAGGCTGCTCCTTGGAGGCAAGGATTCTGGGGCTTCGTCTGACATACTTTGGACATGTTGTAAGGAGAGACAGGTCTTTAGAGAGGGACATCATGCTGGGTAGAGTAGAGGGACAGCTCAGGAGGGGAAGACCCTCTGTGAGGTGGACTGATTCAGTGACTGGGGTACTCGGGATGGGTGTGTCAGAGGCAATGAGATTGGCATAGAATAGAGCAGGGTTTAGGGCTGTTGTACATAGGGTCGCTATGAGTCGCAAACGACTCGACGGCACATAACAACAACAACCACCTTGTCCTTAAATTGATTCAGGACCTGTGGGGAATGAGGGCATGCCTTGCCCCCTTGGGTATCAGGGCAGGGCCACACTCAGCCCCCTCTCGCTGCCCCCTCCCCAGTCATGAAGGGCGCTAAAGGTGGCAAAGGCAGTGTGGCCAGCGAGGCACTGAAGGACCCAGAAGTGTGCACGGACCCCATCCAGCTCACCTCGCACGCCATGGGTGTCAACATCTACAAGGAGGGCCAGGATGTGGTCCTGAAGCCGGATTCTGAGTACCCTGAGTGGTGAGTGGGCCGCGGCCTCCCCTGTGGCCCCCCACAGCCAGCTCTAGGTGGGGTGGGCGTGGTGGGCTCACTGCTTTCGGGGTTGAGGGGAATCGTTGAGCCCAGAAGGCAAGTGCGGCATGAAATCAATGCCTGTTTTCCTTTATCATTTATTAAGCGCCATCTGTGTGCCAGGCCTGTGCTTGGCGCTGGGGTGCAGCAGGACATCAGACAGGAAGCACGTGGTCAGAGGAGCTGCCATGGAGTGGGGGAGGGAAGGACAAGTGGAGGGGGGCTGAGGGCACCTGATGAGGCTGAAGTTAGGGAGAGCTCTCCTGGGATGTGACCTGTGGGCTTGCACCCCAGGGGTGGAAGGGGCTTTCCATGTGTCAGGGGAACAGCCAGTGCGCGTGCCCTGAGGTAGGACTGGGCCAGGACCGGGGCTGGAGAGCTGGGGAGGCAGAGTCCTGCCCGTGTGGGGTTGCAGGGACTGTGGGGAGATGTTTGCCCAGGCCCAGAGGCAGACCCTGTGGGCAGGGAGCTTCGTGGGGATGGGGTCCTCCGTTCCCCAGTTTAGGCAGGTGCTGGGTTCTGCTGATCTTTCTGCCCAGGAGGCCTTGGGGTGGTAGGGGTGTCCTGATCACCGTCCTCTCCGTCAGGCTGTTCCAGATGAACCTGGGTCCCCCCAAGACGCTGGAGGAGCTGGACCCCGAGAGCCGGGAGTACTGGCGGCTGCTGCGCAAACACAACATCTGGCGCCACAACCGGCTGAGCAAAAACAAGAAGCTCTAGGGGAGAGGCTGGGTACCCCCCTTCCCACCGAGGACACCCTCCTGCCCCCGCAGACGTGCCGGGCGCCCCCCGTCCCGCCGAGGACACCCTCCTGCCCCCGCAGATGTGCTGGGTGCTCCCATTCCTGCCAAGGACACCCTCCTGCCCCCGCAGACGGGCCGGGCGCCCCCCTTCCCGCCGAGGACACCCTCCTGCCCCCACAGACATGCTGGGTGCCCCCCTTGTGGCTGAGGATACCCTCCTGCCCCCACAGATGGGCCGGGCGCCCCCCTTCCCGCCGAGGACGTCCTCCTGCCCCCGCAGACGTGCCGGGTGCCCCTCTTCAGGACACCCTCCCTACCCCTGCAGACGGGCTGGATGGCCCCCTTCTGGCCGAGGACCTCCTCCCTTCCCCCACAGACGGCTGAGGACACCTTCCCTGCCCCCACAGATGGGCCAGGCACCCCACAGCTGAAGAACTGGAGGACGTGCAGTGCCCCTGTGACACCCCCACAGAGTGGCCGGGCACCCCATCCTCACACACACCGCTGGGGCTACATTGTCTGCTGTCCCTCCTTGGAGGACTTTGTTTTCTGCAGAAAGCAGGCTTCCCCCCCCAGCAGAGGTGGCTCCTGGCCCAGGGCTGTGGAGCCCAATAAAAACCTCTACGTCATGTGGCCGCGATGCCCCTGGTGTTCTCTGCTTCTGAGCTAGGAGGCCAGGGGACAGTGTGGAAAGGGGGGTGTCTCACAGCAAAGGCTTCCCCACAACCTGCACCCCAGCACCTGTGGGGCTTGTACAGGGAGAGCTGGGGCGGGGGAAACCCCTGGGGCCGATTCAGGCTATCCTTGCCCTGCCCCCTGGCTTCTTTCTCTCAGGTAGGCAACTGTGGCCAAGGGCACTGGCGGGCGTGGGAGCAGAGCTCAGGCTTGTGCCAGCCCCAGAGGGCTTGGGCCCAGACCCTGCCCAAGATGGCCCTGTCCTTAGGCTGCAGCCACGGGTCCTAGACTGATTCTGCCCCATCACAGGAACTGGTGTCCATGTAGGGAGTGCCTGTCTATTACATGAAGGGGGTAAATAGCAACTCCCTGCACCCCCAGGGCCTGCACCTTCAGCCCCACCCCCTCCTTGCCCACCCCTCCTGTCCCCATTGCTTGGAACCTCCATGTTCCTCCCACTCACCAGGCCCATCCTGCCCCAGGGCCTTTGCACTCACTGTGCCCTCTTCCTGGAATGCTTTTCCCCCAGATCCCAACGGTGCCTCCCTGACTGATGTCTCTGCCTGAGGATTTCCTCAGGGAGGTCGCTCCCTCCCTCCCCATTAGAACCCAGTCCTGTCCCTGGTGCTCCCAGCTCCTGGTGGCCCCGACCTTGGCCGCCACCCAGTGCTCCCAGCTCCTGTGGGCCCAGACCGCTCCCTGCCCCTGGTGCTCCCAGCTCCTGGTGGCCCCGACCGCTGGCCTTTCATATCTTAGGATGCTGTCACTTTGTTTCTTTCCTCCCAGAACGTCAGGGAGGGAATGGTGTCTGTCTTGCTCACACCACGTCCAGTGCCTGGTCCTCAGGGTACACCCGGCAATAGAGTGATGGATGGACAGATGGGGGTGGGTGAGTAGATGGGGAACAGATGGATGGGTAGGTGGGTGCCTGGTCACGTGGATGAATAGGGTGGGTGGGTGGAACTGATGGGTGGACAGGTGGGTGAGTGTTCAGGTGGGGAGGTGGGCAGCTAGCTGACCCCCTCTCCAAGGCTGTCATTCTCAGAGACTGCCCCCCTGCAGTTAGGCAGCTTTTTTGGGGGGGGGAGGGAATTCAGTTGCAAGGAGGCCCAGGTGTGAACAGGATGTGGACCTGAGGACAGGTGTGTGCTCCATTGGTCCAGTAGCTTGAGTGTGAGGACCTGGGGGTGCACCTGAGTGTGGCCACCCAGGAGAGGCCCTAGAAGGACATTCCCTGGGTGCACCTGCTCCCGTCCATGGTGTTGTGTGCACGCCAACCAGGCTGCCCCTCTCGGTGTGCCCACACTTGCCCTGAGTCACACCCATTCCTACCATCCAGCAGTCGGGAGTCCCCTCACCCTGACTTGGTAGACACGTTCTCCTGAGGTCCTTGGAGACATGCCTCGCCTGGTACCTTGTCACCAACCCTTCACATCCCTCCGTCTGGGAGACCACAAAGGCCGAAGACCTCTGAGGATGTGGGAGTTCCTTGATCCCCTGGGCCAGCCTGCACTGCCCAGGTCATCCCTGCTCCCCACACCAGCACAGGCCCGGAGGGCGCTTTGAGTGACACAGCCCAGCAAGGAAAAGAGCCTCTGGGTGGAAGCGCCAGGCTGGGAGCTGCCACCACCTCATGGTTTTTTGGGAAGGGGGCTGCATGAACAAGCCTGGGGTGCAGGGGGCTGGGGGGACAGGAACAGTTCCCAGAAGTAACTTCCCAGCAGCTCCTGGTCCCAGCCTTCCAGGTGAATCTTAAATTTAACCCATCCACACCTATCTGACAGAGGGGGCGACAGGTGTCCAGAGATCAAAGACGTGACAGGAGAATCCTGATTAAGAGTCTGAAAATGTAGACCCAAGTGTCAAATTACCATGGAATCCAGACTTTCTGGAGCCAGGGAGGCTGCCCAACCTGGAAGTCACTGAATCTAAATCCTAAACCACAAACATTGCTCGTAGTTTTTAAGCAACAGCGTAAAGGCTGTCCTGAGCTTTGAGAACCATCTCTGGGATGAGGGGTGTCAGTGCAGAAGAGACACTTGATGGTTTTTGTTCTCGGGGGGAGGGACAACTCGGGCAAGGAGCATAGACAAGTGGACAACTTGAAAAATGTCATCGATGTCACTGAAAGGCAAGTGGAGAGACTGGTGTACATTCTGTGTTTTCCCAATGACAAAATAAATACAAGAAGGTGGGCTGCCAGGCCCTGACGGTTGGTCGTGAGAGCATTCGCACCCCCCTCCCTGCCTGGCATCCGTGTCCCAGTGAGGCAGGGCAAGGAGGTACTGGGACAGGGATGGACCCGGACTGGCAGGGACCCAAGCAGCTGGTGCCACTCGCTGGTTTTGCTCCCTGGTGACCCCAGCCTGGAGGCTGAGCTGCTTCCATGACTGGCTGTTGTCACGGGGGTTAGGGATGGAGGACAGCAGGCAGGCGCCAGGCTCAGGCCGGGGGCCAGACCCTGTCCAGGGCCTGTGTGTGCTCCTTGGCCAGCAGCCGCAGGGACGCCTCATCCAGAGTGAAGCCATCAGCGAAGGCCGGACCAAAGGCGTGGGACCCGAAAGGTGCCTGCATGGTGGGACCCGGGCCCAGGAGGCGGGGAAGGCCTGGGACTGCGGGGGGCCCGGGACCCAGCCAGGGTTCGAGGGGGAGTGGCAGGGCCGGAGGGCAGGCAAAGGGCAGTGCTGGGGTCTCGGGGAGCCTCGGGGCTGCCACGGTCCTGGAGCTGGACTCCATACGCTCCTGGCGGCGCCACTTGGCCCTGCGGTTCTGGAACCACACCTGGGGGAGGGGCAGGATGGGTGCTAAGGCTTCACCACACAGTTCTGCCTGGGGTCTAACCTGACTCCCACTTGCTGCAGCCAACACTGTGTGTGCGTGAGCCTCACGTGACGCTGGCACAGGCATCTCTGAGCTGTCTAAGCCCTCCTCGACAGTCCAGAGCCCTCCTGGGTTCTCAGCTGCTGGGCTCCGCATTCAAGGCCCTGGAAGACCTAGCATGCTGTGCTTGCCTCTACCAGCCTGACTCTTTCACTGCTTACAAGGACGCCCTTTATCCTTCCTGCCTGGAAAACCTCCCAGTCAAACATCAGGGCCTCAGCTCCGCCATCTCCTCCTCCAGGAAGCCTTCCCAGTTTCTCCTGTCTGTGACCTGGGTGGGTGGGAGGGTGGTAGGGGCGCCCTCACCTGCACGCGCACCTCGGGCAGGTGCACCTTGGCTGCCAGCTCCTCTCGGCTGTACACATCTGGGTAGTGGGAGGCCTCGAACGCCCGCTCCAGCTGGTGCAGCTGGTACGTGGTAAAAGCCGTGCGGTTCCGCCGGTGCTTCTTCTTGGGCGCCTCCTCACCTGGCCCTGGGCCCCCACCCTCGGCCATGGGCCCCTCACTTGGGTTCAGGAACATGGCTCCTCTGCAGCCCTACCTGGAGGGATGGCAGCAGGCCAGGTGGTGGTGAGACAGCAGGAGGGACTGCCACCAGCAGAGGACAGGGCAGTCCCAGGAGAGCCCAAGAGAGGACAGGGCAGCCCCAGGAGAGGACAGGGGAGCCCAAGAGAGGACAGGGCAGCCCCAGGAGAGGACAGGGCAGCCCCAGAGAATCCCCGGAGAGGACAGGGCAGCCCCAGAGAGGAGAGGGAAGCCCCAGGAGAGGACAGGGCAGCCTCAAGAATAAGGAGTAACTCCCCCACCCGTCGCTCCCTCTTGGGCTGTCTGTTTCCTGTCTCAGTTCTTCCTGTCCATCTCTATCTACTCTTCTCTCTCTCTCTCTCTCCTCCCCTGCTCCCCTGTCCCTGTCTCTCTCCCTAAATCTGTGTCTCTTTCACTGTGTCTTCTTTGTCTCCCCATCCCTTCTCTCTCCCTGACCCTTTTCTTCTGTTCTTTTTCTCCGAAAATCTCTGTGTGTCTGTCTCTTCTTTCTTTGTCTCTGTCTCTAAGACCCCCAGGAAGTCAGGAATTATAAGGGCACCCCCCTGACCTGTACACTCTTCACCCTAGGGGCCCACTGTACCCACGCCCACCTGCCCAGGGCTCACCACCGAGCAGCCCCGCCGACAGCCCGGGATCTGAGGGGCACCCACCCCAGCAGGCCCAGCACCCAGCACCGACTGCGTCCAGCCTGGCCCTTCCAGACGCCAGCGGGGAGGGTCAGGCGGAGGATTAACTGGGGTGATTAGTTGAGTGGACCCCGCCCCCTGGAGCGGGTGGCCCTGAGCAGGGAGGGCAGGTGCAGGGCTGGCCCCACACTGCCTGGTTCAGCCACCAAGGACCACCCCCCTGGGCCTCAGTTTCCCTGGTTGTAAAGTGGCAGCACTAGTATCTGCTTCCCAAGGCCTCCAAGGACGCTCACTGAGCTGCCGTAAGCCAGGTGCTCCGTACAGTGGTCAGCCAACAGCGTGTAATGACTGCCCATGCTTATTTCCACCATCAGGGATCTGAAACAGGGCCCTAGGTCCATTACGGTGAAGGACATGGGGAGCTGAGGTCCCAGGCGGCGAGGGCACGGCCCTGGGCACAGACTGAGGCTAGGGCACTGGGGCAGTTTAGCACTTTCTGATGCTTCAGGGCCAGAGAGTAGGAAGGGACTTACAGCTGACCCTGCACCAGATTCAGGGGGTCAACTCCCAGGGAAGAGCTCGCCCCTCCTTCTCCCGTGGCCGCTGGCCAGTTAGCCCCGCAGCTCCTTACAGACTCGACCACCAGATCACACACAGAGAAGTCACTGCTCGTTCATCCACCCAACACGCATTTATTAAGTGCCTTCTGAATTCTGTTCACAGTGAACAGAACACAGAGACTCCTGCTGACATGAGCGGGGAGGGGAGGTCGGCCATCAGCTAAAACGGAGGCCCCAGTGCTGTGTGAACTTGGGGAGAAAAGTCAAGCCGGAGGGCAGGGCAGGGCCCAGGGCACACAGCGACCTGCAGGAAGGTCATCAGAGACTGAACTGGCGCACAGGGTTCAAACCCTGGACATGAGGAGAGGGAAGGGGAGGCCTCTGAAGAGCCATGGAAGGTTGTGGCCTGAGAGGACAAGACAGGGGGCCAGTGAGGAAGGCTGGAGGGCGGGGAGGGAGAGAGGGTTTTGAGAGGGGCCAGAAAAGCTCCTGCTTTGGTAAAAGTGGACAATCGATCAGCCCAGAGGTGGAACGGATCTGAGGGAGGGATGACATGGGGCCTGGCCTGGCCCTGCAGTCCAGGGAACCTGGGAGGTGTCCAGGGGACATGAAGCTGGGCAGGGGCAGTGGGAGCTTGGCCAGGGAGTGATGCTGGAACCCCAGAAAAGAAAGTGCTCTGAGGCCTGGGGTGGCAAGGACCAAATGAGGCCTGGGAAAAGGCAGCTGCCTTTGGGGACCTTGAGGTAAATGGAGCAAGACTGAGGACCCAGGGTGACAGAGGAGCCAGGGAGTGAGAGCGAAGGTAGCACTTTCCAGAATACTGACTTTGAAGGGAGCAAGATAAAAAGAGAAATAGGGCTATACAGAGAAAAGGGCAGTGCAAATGGTAAATGAATCTGGATGTGGACTGGAAGGTTGCATATCCCCACACGTGTCTCGGAAGAAAGGCCTGGCAATCTACCGAAAACTAGCCAACAGAAATTCTACAGACCCCAGTTCTGCTGACACACAGGCGTTAGTTACTCTGTTAGTGAGTCAATTTGACAAGAAGAAGGACTGAGGTCAGTGAGTCAGGGCGCTTAGTGTATAAGCAGTAGGCTGGGGTCTGGGATCAGGGAGCTGGGCAGGAAGGCCCCAAGGTTCACCGGGAAGGAGTCGCTAGAGCTCCAGGGGGCCAGTGCCTACTCTGACCTCAACTGTCCCGGGTGCAAAGTTGCACATTCTGTGGCCAGGGCCCTGTGAGGCCACTTGGCCGCTGGACACGCGGGGTGTGGGGACAATAACTCCCTTAATTATTTCATCACTTTAAAACGCTAATGAGCTGCTTCTGGCTCAAGCCCCAATTAGCTAATTGGACCTTGTGGGCTAAGAAGCCGCAGAGGGATAGGGGTGTGAGGGGCAGGGGGCTTTGTGCAGCTTAGCGTGAGGCGCGAAGGCTCCAGACGCTGCGTCAGCTTAGAGCGGGGATTAGGGGTGCAGGGGGTGCAGGGCCAAGGGGACAGGTGGCCCCGCCAGCTGGATTAGGCAGCTCAGGCCACTCATAGCCGTTTAGCCTCCCCCTAGAAGAACTGTTAAACCTTTTCAAGTGCTAGTGGGGAAACTGAGGCTAGAAGGTAGGCAGGACGTCAGGGGTGAGGAGAGGTCAGCGTGATCATACAGTGGTGTTTCAGTGACACTGGCCAGAGGAAGCAGGATGGCTGTGGTCTGGTGTCCCCACTGAGGGGCCTGGCAGTGATGGCCAGTAGTAGGGCTTGCTAGCTGCCAGCAAGCTGGCCCTGACCCACTCGCGCTCAGCAGAACCAAACGGTGCCAAAGCTGCACCGTCCCGGCCACGCGCATCAGATCCTGTGACTTGTGAGTCTTCAGGGCTGAGTGTCAGCAGATCACTAGGCCTTTCTTCCTGGTCTTGGTTTGGATCACAGCAACAAACAAGCCTCCGCTGACAGAAGGGTGGAGCTCCGGCAGGGAACCACGCTGAGGTCCCTCCTGTGTGGATTTCAACCTGCTGTGTGGATGGCAAGGTCCCAGCCCCCTGCCTGAGAGGACCTAGAACGCAGGGACAGGCCCCCTAGCCAGTGTTTCCCTTCTCTGGGGTCCTTGGGCCAACCTCCTGGTCACTTGCCTGTCCTTTATTCAAATGTGAGATGACTTATAGGTCCCCACAGAGGCTGTGCCCAGTGTTGGCACAGAGTGGGTGCTCAGTAAGCATTTAATGAAAGGCTAGGGGGATGGATAGTAGGTGGGAGGGTGGATGTGTGGGTGGGATGACAGGTGGGTAGATGATGGATTAGTGGATGGACGGATGAGTACATAGATGGCTGGAGAACGGCGGATAAATGGTGAGTGGATTGATGGGTGAAGGATGGTGGTTGGATGTATGGTGGGTAGGTAGATGGAGGGAGGATGGTGGGTAGGTAGGCGGATGGGTGGTCAGGTGAATGATGGACAGGTTGAGAGATGGCTGTGTAGGTGTGTGTATGGGATATGGGCGAGTGGATGGATGGGTGGGTGTAGGTGGCTAGATGAATAGATGGATAGAGAGGTGGACGGATGGTGTGTGGACAGATAGTGGGGAATGGATAGATAGGTGGCTAGATGGTGGATTTGTGGGTAGGTGGCTGGATAGTGGCTGAGTGGATGGATGGTAGACAGGTGAATGGATGGGTAGGTGAGTGGATGGATAGTTAAACGATGGATGGAGGGTGGTGGATAGACAGTAGGTGGTGGATGGATAGGTGGGTGGATGGATGGGTAGGTGAGTGGGTGGAAAGCGAGATGAATGGGAGGATAGTTTAGTGGATGGATGGAGGATGGTGTGTGGATGGATGGGTAAGTAGATAGATGGTTGGATAGATGCGTTCCTAGATGGATCGGGGTAGATCCGAAGCACATGGTCTGTAGGGAGGCCAAGTGTTGGCCCTTTGGGTTAGAGGCCCCTTGGAGTCAGAGAGACACAGACACCCAGTGTCCTTGAAACCGATGTCTTTATCAAGGTGCACATCCTTCCTTTGCGGGTCCGTGGCATCTGCGGCTGGCAGTGTCCCTGCGGCTGGCAGTGTCCCTGCGGCCTGCTCTGCCCTGCCTGTGAGTTGAGGGGTCAGTCAGCTATGCAGGCAGATGAGTGCCTCCATTCTCATGGTCCTCTGGAGCTCCTGGCCCCACCAGGGTCAGGGGTCAGGGGTCCTGGGCTCTGGGTGACGTAGTGCCATCAGCCTCCTGCACCCCAGCAGAGGCTGGGACACCCACGCTGCGCAGCTCCCGGGCCAGCTTCTCTGCCAGCTTTCGGAAGGGAGGCCTCCTCGTGGGCTCCGCCTCCCAGCAGCTGCCCATGAGGGCATGGACGGGTCCTGGGCAGCCCTCCGGGGGCTCCATGCGGTAGCCTTTCTCCACAGCCTCTGACACCTCCTTCAGCGACTGCAGGGACAGCACCGCGGTGGGAATGGGGGATCAGGGCCACAGCCCACATACACGTGGAACCCAGGAGCGGCCCCTCCGACCTTGCTCACCATCTTGGGGTATGGAGCCCGGCCATATGAGAAGACTTCCCACAGCAGGACCCCAAAACTCCACACATCGGATTTGCTGGAGAACTTCTGTGGGCCCAAGATCAAGGTGAGGAGAGATACCTGAGATCTTCCACCTGGGCTCCTGCCTCCTCCAGGAAGGCCTCCTGTGTTGACCTTCCTTCTCTGGTTTCTTCCCAACAGACTCCTCCCTGGAGACCCCTCCCCCGAAATCCAGATGACCCCCTCAAGAGTTCCCATTCTTTTTCTCTGCGGGGCACAGGGCTAAGATCCCCATTTCAGAGGGTCACAGAGGGAGGGGCCGGCAGAGGCTGAGAGGGGCAATTATGAGCTCCAGGAGGGAAGAGACTTCCAACACTTGACTTCCTCTGGGGTCAGGGACATCAGCTGACACACCCCATTCAGGAGGCTGCACCCCCATCCCCAGAGTCCCAGGGTGGGGACTCACCCCATGCTTGAGAGCCTCAGGCGCTGTCCACTTGACGGGCAGTCGGCTGGAGTCCAGCCCCTTCCGCTCAGCCTTGGCCAGGCCAAAGTCGCTGACCTTGGCCACCAGGTCCTCAGACACCAGGATGTTGCGCGCAGCAAGGTCACGGTGCACTAACTTCTTGCCCTCCAGGTACCCCATGCCCTCGGCCACGTGCCTGGGCACCAGGAGGGTGGGCGGAGCTTGGGAGCTGCCCAATCCCACAGGAGGGCTGCTCCCCGTGTTGTGCCTCAGTTTCCCCCCACCTCCTGCCCCTGCAAGGACCACTCACAGAGAAAACTGCAGGAGCTGGGCAGTGTTCACAAGGGACCGGCCCCGCGTCCGTAGAAAATTCACCAGGTTACCCTGTGGAGGGGGCGGGGCGAGTTCATGGAGCAGGGGCTGTTCTGGGAGCCCCATCCACAGGAACAAGGCCCCCCCGCAGAACACCTGCTCCCACGAGAATCCTGGTCACCCCATTCCTTACATTGGATCACCACCAGCATCTCAGGACACGTCTACACACAAATATTGCCCCATCAGCACCTCTGGTCGGTCACACCTCCGAATCCCTGCCTCATCAGCATCTCTGGCCACGCCCCCGAATCCCTGCTCATCAGAATTTCAGGCCACGTCCACACACGGATCTCCACCCAGTGGTTGTATCTAGTCACGCTCCCCATGACATCAGCATATCTGGCCATGCCCGCACATGAATGTCCGTTCTGTCAGCACCTCCAGTCACTCTCCCAATCCCCACCTCATCAGCATATCTGGCCACGCCCCCGAATCCCTGCCCCATCAATATCTTTGACAACGCCCCTGGATCCCCGCCCGCCTCTTTAGCATCTCTTACCACGCCCCTAATCCTCACCCTATCAGTACCTCTGGCCACGCCCCCGAATCCCTGCCCCATCAATATCTTTGACAACGCCCCTGGATCCCCGCCCGCCTCTTTAGCATCTCTTACCACGCCCCTAATCCTCACCCTATCAGTACCTCTGGCCACGCCCCCGAATCCCTGCCCCAATAGCATCTCTGGCCACGCCCCATGAATTCCTGCCCTATCAACATCCTTGACCACGCCTGAGTCCCCGCCCCTTAAGCCTCTAACCACGCTCCCAGTCTCCGCCCCATCAGCATCTCTTGCCACGCCCACGATTTCCTGCCCTATCAGCACCTTTGACCACGCCCGTGAATCACCGCCCCTTCAGTCTCTCTATCCGTGCCCCCAATCCCCACCCCATAAGCATCTCTGGCTACTCCCCCTAATTCCTGCCTCTATCAACATCTCGGGCCACATCAAACAGCAAACGAATCCCTGCCTCATCAGCATCTCTGGTCACAGCCTTGAATCTCTACCTTCATTAGCATATCTGGCCACACCTCCCAACCCCCGCCCCGTCAACCTCTCTCCAGCCACGCTCCCCAGTCCCTGCTCCACCTGCCCGGATGCGGCTGCATTCGCACCTTGCTCACGTGCTCCATGACGATGTATAGTCCCTGGTGCAGGATCACGCCCAGGAGACGCACCAGGTTCTTGTGCTGCATCTTCCTGTGGGCGGGGCAGGGCGGGGTGAGAGCCTTGCCCGGACCCCTCTCCCTTCCGATACACGCCATGTCCCCCACGCTGCCCACTCACGTCATGACCGCTGTCTCGTCCAGGAAGGCCTGGGCCGTCACGTCGCATTTGATGTTCTTGACAGCCACCTTCTGCCCCAGGTACTCCCCCTGAAGGACAGCTGGGGGCGGGCGGAGATCAGGACCCCCAAGCCCTCTCACCCAACCCCCACGTGTATCTGTGCACCTGCAGTCCCTGAACAGACTGAACCCTTCTCAGAGAGGCTCCGCTGAGCCAGGGAGGGGTCTGCACCCCTACCCGGCCCAGTCCAGCTCACCACCTGTTTTGGATACAGTTCCCCGTGCTAAGAATGGTTTTTACATTTTCAAATGTGGGGTGGGGATGAGGAAACAAAAGAAGAATGGTATCTGGTGGCATGTAAAAGCGCTTGGAAATGCAAATGTCAGGACCCAGAAATAAAGTTTTATTGGCAAACTGCCACACCCATCATTTGCCTGTTCTCTGTGGCTGCTTTTGTTTTACAAGCGCAGAGCCATCTGGTGCACCAGGCGGAAAACATTTACCCTACCCCTTCACAGAAACAGCCTGATAACCCCTGCTGAGGGCCCTGGAACCTTCTGGAAAAATCATTTCTGGGCAGGGCATTGTGAGCGGAAAACCATCGTGGGCAAAGTCCAGAGGTGTGGAGGCATGACAATAACCTGGGGGCTGATGGAGTTAGTCTTCCTCACCTCCTTTTACAGGGTGGGACCCCGAGACTCAGTGCCACTGCTAGGCGGTTGAGTGGTTCCTCCCCATTTCACACTTTCCTACTCACCTCCAAACTCCCCCTCTCCGATCTGGCCTCCCAAGGTCAAGTGCTGCAGGTTCAACAACCATCCGGCTGTGGAGAAGGGGATGTGTCAGTGGGCCTTGCTGCCCAGCCCCTTCTATGGGGGGGACTCCATCTGGTGAGACACCAGGTGATGTTCCCCCACAGCCACCCTGCTGTGGACACAGGGGCTGGTTGCTCCGCACATCCCCCAAGACACCCCACTTCTGGCACCCATTTTTATAGTTGCTGCCAGTAACATAACCTGACTGACTTGACCAAATAGGGGGTTCCTAGATGGCTAATGGTGAGGCTGTCTTGCTTCTCATGCTAGTTGGGCATGGGGGGGCCCCTCCAGACACACTGGTTATACCCTCACCTCCGAGTACTCAGGAACACCCCCCACCACCCTCAACAACAACAAGAAGGAACAAAGAAACAGGATAAAGGCTTCTGCTCCAGCCTCTCCAAGTCTCTCCTCTCTCCTGGCCAAGCCCCTCTTTCTCCCTACACACCCCCAAGGTCTGAGCCCTAAAAGCATGAGCATGTTGGAGATCTAGTCTCCACTCAAATGGCACCCGCCCCCCACCCCAGACACTCAGATCCCCCCAGAGAGGCATGCTCTTTGAAAAAAGACAGAGATTATGATTAGGAGCAAAAAACGTAGGCGTGAGCAAAGTTATTGTCACCAATTTTGTCTCACAGCGAGTGACCCCATGTACATCAAAAAGAAACCACCTGGTCCTGCCGCCTGCTCCCATCTCCAAGGAGATGGATCAACACCATCTATGGAACCATAGACACCATAATTCAAAGGCATCGATAGCAATTATTCTTCCATCTTCCTTATTCACTGTCCATTTTTTTTTATGGTGAGAAAAATTTATATTTAGAATTAGCCCGGGGGACTCAGTTTAGATGATCCCAATTTTGTTGGCAACATCCAAAGCATCATAATCAGGAGCAAGTCGAACATAGGCCTTCTTCTCTCCATCAGGCCTAATCAAAGTGTTGACCTTGGCCACATCAATGTCATAGAGCTTCTTTACAGCTTGTTTAATTT